ACTTATCCAATCATATTGAAGAATATGAAAAATAATTCATTTTTTAGATAATTTTTTTAAAGTTGTTAAAATGTTAAATAATTTTTTTATCCCTCATTCTCGGTGATGAAGAGAAGTACTTGACTTATGATTTTTTATGTCAAACAGATGCAAATATAGGTGTTGGTGATACTCGATAACACTTGATTTTTGAATGAAATCAAATGTTTGAAGATCCTAAACCACAAAATAATTTTGAAAAGGGAGAATTGATTATGTTGTTGAAGAATATTGATCAAACATCTAAATTTTGTAATTATATGAGATTAATCATTAAAGTATTGTGAAACAACGTTATCAGTGGCAACTTTTATTTCGAGAAATTGATTCGGAGATCCTGAATGAATTTGGTATCGTTTGACTCCGGACTACCCCTGAAATTCTAGAGAGAAAAATTCAAAAAGTCTTATGTTTCGTTATTATAAACAAAAGTCAAGGACAAAATTATCCTTTGTTGGATTATCTTTATCCAAGTCAGTATTTATTCATGATTAATTTAATATTGTTATTTCATTAATGAAGACAAATGGATAATTAAAAATATTAGTTCTAGATGACAATGGAAACTCGTGCAATTATACAAAAATGTTTGTGTACTTTGAAGTTTTTGAAAAAAATTGAAATTAAAAAAACTCTATTGTTAACATATTTAAACCTCTATATTATTAAAGAATCATGTTTAAAATATTATCCCTAAAAATATTTTATAAAAAAGTTTAGAATCAACAAAAACTTTTATTCTACCCGCAATACTAGTCCTTATAAACTTATAAGCAAGAATGATCACGATCTCGTCTATTTTGGCGATAGGTGGGATCATGTTGACCATTGACTATTTATATATGGGCTAGTGACGCACTTGTCTTATTATGCTTGCTGGTTCTACAATACCACAACATGGTTGATAATATTAACACATACACGCCTCACGAATGCGTGTTAAATGTGTGTATTTTAAAAAATAAGAAGTTTTTCTTTAAAAAATATGTTGGAATTTTGACTCATAACGGGATAACTTTAGACGTAAATTTGATAAAATTCACAAAATTATTTATCAAAATAATAATTATCATAAAATATTATTCCAAGTGAGACGAGTATTTCAATATATTGTGCGCCAAAATTGGTGTTAGGATGAATGAGAAATTAATTCACAAAGTCGAACATTTGGAAGAGGTAAAACCCACATATCACACATCGGATTTGAGACCCTTCAACTTCCTCTATTTATATGCTAATCTTTAATTTCATTGTAAAGCAATTTATGGAGGGAAAATCAATAAGGGAGCCCTCGCGCACCGCCGTCGTCCATCTCGGCACGATAGGCCTGCGCGCGCGAACGCGTGTTGGCGTGTGGCGCGTGCGACGCATCGCGACGTGGTGAGGGCGTGAGCAGAAACCCTTATCCTTTTACGAGACAAAATGAAACACGTGTTGACTTCGTTAATAATGAAGTGTTGGCATGCATGCACCATTGAAGGGACTTCGTGACCCTTCAGTTTGATCTTCCAGCCCGTCCCTTTGAGTCTCTCCCCTCCTATACAAGGAGGGAGAGTTCACCGCAAATACTTACTTGAAATTGCGTCCAACAACCTTCTGTTTCTGATAAGTTTTTCCGGCAAATTGCTCCTCTTCGTTCAAGTTCGTTGGTGCATATATTGTTCTACCACTCTAGACCTTGCACGTTAGCGATTTTATCCTGGGAGGATATCGTCCACGTTAGCCAGTGCGAGAGGTGGGCGATATTACCTTAAGGAAAGCTCGGGTGATTCCGCTTTCCTTCCTTCTCCGTTCAGTTTTCGACCACCGACGATCTCTTCTTTTATTTTATTTTTTCACGTTGTAAAATCCGAACGTATTATAAGTTTGGATTATTTTATTTTATTTTCTTCCCGCTGGTGGTATTTGAATTCGACAACAAAGTATTCTCTTATTCTCTCCATACTGTATTTAAAAAAAATTATTCTTTTTTTATGTTTTCCAAAAATAATTTATCTTCTTTTTAAATAAAGAAATGTGTTTGTTCAAAATTAAATAATTTATTTACTTTTCTAATATATAAATTTTATTTTTAGATTCTATACTTATTTTCAAATAAATTGTATAGAATATAATTTTAGTCAAATGTCATTAACCAGAATAGACAATTTAAATTGAGATTGATGAATAATATACTCTCTCCGTCTCTGAGTATTTGTCCCCTTTTAACTTTTTCTGATCAAAATTGACAAACTTTGTTTATAAATTAAATAAAAATAATATTAGATATTGATACGAAAATAATTTTATTAGATTCTTTTTGTACAATATTTTAAAATATTAATGTATCTAATTAATACTCCCTTCGTCCTCAAATAAACTTCCCTTTTCGTTTTTTTCTTTGTCCCCAAATAACTTCTCTTTTTCCTTAAAAAACCTCTTTTACCCCTTACTTTTTCATACCCTACCTATCACATCATACTTTTTTACTAATAATCTACATATCACATCAAGAATATTTTAGGAAAGTCAACACAAAATATCCCTCTCTTAAATCATCAAAAAATCAAAAAGAAAAGTTTATTTATGGACGGATAGAGTATATAATACTATTAATTTTATTTAATTATAAGAAAAAAGTTAAAAATAATTAACTGCAAAAGGTCAAAACACGTCAAATATTCATGGAGTAATGTTGTACGTACTACCTATAGTATATCCTTTGGCTCTTTCGTTTTGACTTTAATTCTCAACGCACAACTGCGAATTATATAGCCCTCCAAATTGACTATTCACGTTGTCGTCATTGCTAGCTGCCCTCCGCGATACTCCCTGCATCCCTTCCCCTTCTTCCAATTTTGACTTGTATTATCTCTAATATTTTAATCATTATCATCTTTATTTATATATAGATATGTTATAGAAATATGAAACGATATTTAAACATAAAAATTGTGATATTAAACTTAAATTCGAATTTATTGTATCCTGCTTATTCTGTGGTTAAAATTTCAAAAAGTAGACCCTACAAATCAAAATTAGGACCAAAAGTGGGAGTATAAATTAGACCTGTTTGCAAATGGTTTTGCACCAAAAAATATAGAAAGAAAGAAAATATGAGGAATAGTGCTATACATTTTGCATTGCCTTTTCTCTTCGTGTACTTGGTTTCCCATGTTGGTGCTGCAAACTCCATTGATGATTTCCTCCAATGCCTTCCATCTCGTTCAACCCCATCTTTCCGAATCTCTAAGGTCATTTACACTCCTACTAATTCTTCCTTCCTAAACGTTCTTCATACATACATAAGGGATAGTAGGTTTAACACATCTTCAACCCCGAAACCTCTAGCCATAATCACAGCCTCTCATGTGTCACATATCCAAGCAACCGTGCTATGCGCAAAAACCGCGGGACTCCAAGTCAGGATCAGAAGTGGAGGGCATGATTTTGAGGGCCTTTCCTACGTATCCCAAGTCCCATTTGTCGTTCTTGACATGTTCAACCTTCGATCTATCGATATTGACATACCAAGTGAAACTGCTTGGGTTCAAGCCGGGGCAACTTTAGGTGAACTTTATTACAACATTGCTAGTAAAAGCAAAACCCATGCTTTCCCTGCTGGGGTTTGTCTGACCCTGGCAACGGGAGGCCATTTTAGTGGCGGTGGGTATGGGAACATGCTCAGGCAATACGGTTTGTCTGTCGACAACATAGTCGATGCACAAGTGGTGGATGTGGAGGGTAGAGTTCTTAATCGGCGTACGATGGGAGAAGATCTTTTTTGGGCTATTAGAGGTGGAGGAGCTGCTAGCTTCTGTGTTGTCTTATCATGGAAAATCAAGCTCGTACGTGTTCCTGATCTGGTAACGGTTTTCAATGTTCCTAGGACATTAGAACAAGGTGCAACAAACATTGTCATGCAATGGCAACAAGTTGCTTCTAGAATTGACAGAGAACTCTTCATTCGAGTGCAACCACAAGTCCAGTTCATAGGAGGAAAAAAGACTGTACAAGTTTCATTCATCGGGTTCTATCTTGGAAACTCTAGCTCCTTGCTCTCATTAATCAACAAGAACCTCCCTCTTTTAGGCCTAAGAGGCCAGGACATTCTTGCAATGCCATGGGTCAATACGACCCTCTTTTGGAATTCCATCCCTACAAACACTCCTCTTGATGAAGTACTATTGCAGCGGTCACCGACTCCTTCTAACAGCTACCAAAAACACAAATCAGATTATGTAAAGACGCCTATTCCAAGATCAGGGCTAGAGATAATATGGAAAAAGATGATGGGTTTCGACAATGTGTTGACGTTAATGCAATGGAACCCGTACGGTGGGAAAATGAGTGAAATTCCTGAGAGTGCGACGGCTTTTCCTCATAGAGCAGGAAATATATTCAAGATGCAATATATCACAATATGGCAAGATGGTAGCGATGGGTCTTTGAGTAAGAACATGGAGGCCACGCGAGAACTTCATGCAACGTTCACTCCTTATGTGTCTAGGAATCCGAGAGAAGCATTCTTGAATTACAGGGACATTGATGTTGGAACCAACGAGAACGGAAGCTCGATTTTTGCTTTCGATTTCTTCAAGGATAATGTGAAGAGGCTCTTGCAAGTGAAGGCCAAGGTTGATCCAACCAATTTCTTTCGATATGAGCAGAGTATTCCATTGTCTTCTACCCCGTAGCAATGGATTGAACATGCAAGGAACATATATGTGTGATGGGTGGTAGGATTATTATTATTATTATTATTATTATTATTATTAGATGGATTGAATTTGCTAGTTTAAGCAATTTGATTAGTGTAAGATTATACGGTATGGGATTAATTATATACTCGTATATGGGATTCATTGTTTTTGTAGTCTTCATTCCCAAGCCAAAAATATTACTCCATCCTAGTATGTTTTCTTTTATTTTCCTTTCTTTTTTTCGTACGTCCCACATTGTTTTAATCTATGGAGTACATAAATTTCAACATAATTTTATTTTATTAATCTCATCAAATTGAGCATAACAAATTGAGAGTATATATTCGTAAAACTATGTTTGTTTGTAAAAAAAAAACACTTGAATTGATAAGAAATCCGGCTTTGGATCGATCAAGCGAAAAATACATAACATGGCTCTGTCGACTACGCTAGGGTTGCTCTTTTGCCTTTTCCATCTCTCGACTGCATGAAAAATAATAACATTAAATGATTGCATAACCTCTACAATATACTACTCCCTCCGTCCCAAAATGAATTTTATTTTGCAAATGTGTGTTAAACTTTGAACATTATTATCTATTCATCCCAAATAGAAGTATAAGAAAAGTGTTAGCTTATGTTGAAAAAAGAAATAATTGTTTTGAGCCACAAATTCCTTTCCTCATAACAAGATAGGGAAAGTATTTATGACGAAAAACTTTTATATACTTCGTAAAATTTATAATTTTTTACTATATAGTTTACGAAAAATTGTCGGTCAAATTTTGGCACCAGGTAAAGGCTCAACTCTGGGACGGGGATGTAGGCACGCGCACACACACACACATGTGTGTGTGTGTGTGAGAGAGAGAGAGAGAGAGATGGGTACCTGTGCAGCAGCAGATCTTTTTGAATCAAGAAACTGGTTATAAATATCATACAGCCTCTGCTTCTCAGCCTCTGGTACTGATGGTTTAGCCTTAGCCGCAACTGATTTCAAAAGAACATCTGTGATAACAGGTGCCATTCCAATTACGCCGCCATCTTCGCTTTCCAGAAGCGCGTGAACTGCTTCAAGCTGTGTATCTGAAAGAAGCGCTTGAAGGTCAGCTCCACTGAAGCCTTCAGTCATATAAGCTATGGCTTCCAAGTCTACATCGCTGGCCATTGGCAGCTGCCATGCAAACTATCAGATTAGTGCATCAAGAAAACTTAGAATCTCATGGTCCAAATAAAGATAGCTCAAAAGGGTTTACCATCTGGTGGAGAATGGTTATCAGCAAGGAAGAACAACCCAGTTGGATCCCACGAGAGTCAGGGTATGTACACAAACCTTGCCCCTACTCAAAAGTAGAGAGGATGTTTCCTAAAGACCCCCGGCTCAAGCAACATAGATACAAAGCACATAAAGACAAAGAACAAACTAATTAAACGAAGCAAAAACACGGCTAGCAGGGAGAACAAAGCATACAAAGCACACAAGTGGAGAAGCTACGACTTAGGCCAAAGCGCCTAAACAACTACCCTAATCCTAGTTCTCCAAACGGTCCTATTAAGGGCAAGAAGTCGTAGATCACGACTAATCACCTCCATCCAATTCTTCCTAGGCCTTCCCCTTCCCCTACTCCCACCCACCAATGTGAGCCTTTCGCATCTCCCCACATGGGCATCAACACTCTACCGCCTCACATGCCCAAACCACCTCAATCTAGCTTCCCGTAGTTTATCTTCCATAGGGGCCACGCCTACCCGTCCTTGGATAACCTCATTTTGAATCCTATCCATCATCATCTTCCCACTCATCCAGCGCAGCATCCGCATCTCTGCAGCATGCAGTTGACGGACATAGGTTTTTTTAACTGCACAGCACTCCCCACCATAAAGCATAGCTGGCCTTACTACAGGAAGATTTTTTGCCAGTTTTTGGTTGAAAAGAAAGAGCAGTTTTTCTACATCCTTTTTTGTCAGACATAAAATCAAACCACTAGCTCAAACATCTAATGTTCTTAAAAGTAAAACCAACAGTGAACTAGAGTATTGAAACTATGATACTAACCTTTCTAGAAAGGACTCTAAGAATATCCAACCTTTCCCCTGGTGATGGGAAATCACAAAATAAGAGTCGGTCTAGTCTACCGGGTCGTAGAAGTGCAGCATCCAGCAAATCCGGTCGACTGTTTATTTCACCAAATTCAAAGAGTCAGTTTCAATTTCAGTGCAAGATAGAGACATAGAAAGAAATAGAGGATATAAATAACTGTTCCTGGGCCACAACCAAAAGCTTGAGCTTTTGGTTGAATTGGTTCCATGACATGGTATCGGAGCCTTGATGACCAAGAGGTCACGAGTTCAAAACTCACAGCCACCCAATTTAAAAAAAATTAAGATTTCACGTGCAAGGCTCAAAGAGGTCACGCCTGCACGTGAGGGGGCGTGTTAGAGTATATAACAATTATTCTTGGACCACAACCACAAGCTTGAGCTTTTGGTTGAGTTGGTTCCATGACAATAAGAAAACACCCAGTGAAATGGAATGAACAATGACCCCATCCTATAAGGCAATGGCAAGTAACATGCATATGCACTTACTAGAGAGCAGAACTCACCTAGTAGCCGCAAAAACAAACACACCGGTCAAAACTTCAACACCATCTAACTCTGTCAGAAACTGGGGGAAAGTAAAATGGAGAAAAATAAGACTACAAAGAAATAATGTGAAAAACATTGGCCAGCACAGGACAAAAAGGAACTCACTTGATTGACCACTCTATCTGTCACTCCAGTGTTATCATGCCCTCTCTTTGGAGCGATCGAATCAAATTCATCAAAGAAGAGAATGCATGGGGATGCTGCTGCCGCCTTACTGAAAATATCTCTGACCTGCAAGGAGTCATGGTTATAGTCAACCATTCCGTGGATTCCTTATTTGTGAAATGGGGTGTTAGTGTTATATTTCCACAATTCGCGAAGATAAACCTATTTTCCGTTTGCGTATGGCAATGGGAATACGGAAACATAGCACATCATACAACATCTAGGTAGATATTACATTTTCATGCTACCTTTTGCTGAGAGTTCTTGTGACAACTATATTATGAGAATCGAAAGGCATTAAAGTAGGCTACTGCCCATCCATCTCCGACAAACATTGTTAAGGTGACAATAGAGTACTCCGTATTTATTTTCAGCGATTAGTGATTGTTACTCTTTTGAAATCTATATTCGGTTCTAGAAACCAAACTCAATGTTCAACTACTTCTGCACTTAAACAACACTACACAAAACTATTTCTTTTTTAAAAAAGTGACACAATGATCATTGATGAATAAAAGCATATGCAGTTTATGTACAATTTTGAAGGAAGAAAATGAAAAGTTAAATGATCTCCACGGCCTACTAGCAAATGCTTCATATATGAGAGGAATAAACAAGCATGATTTATCTCTAGAAGTAGAAAATTAAAATAGTTCCAGAGGAAACTATATCTTACAGCTTGTTCAGAAGCACCAATATATTTGTTAAGCAACTCAGGCCCTTTCACAGAGATGAACCGTAGTGAACAGGCTGCAGCAGTGGCACCAACAATATGTGTTTTGCCACAACCAGGGGGGCCATATAAGAGAATATTGGATCGCATTCTTAGTGGAGCATGTGCAAAGAGATTTGGAAACTTCGAAGGTAGCTCAATCATCTAGAGGGAAAAAAAATTTGAGAGAGAGATTACAAAGAAGACTCTTGAAACACCTCATTGATTAAGAAGCAGTTTAAACAATGTATACTTGTTTAGTATCTTAAACTAATCATTAGTCTTAATTAAAAACCAAGTTGAGTACTCTCAACTAGGATTGTTCAAATAAGCAGCATCATGAACTTCAAAGTAATATGTGAATATTATGATTCGTCTTTGAAAAGAAAGCAAATGAATATTTCCCATATGGCAGAGCTAACTAACTTTCATAATAAATTGAGGTGAAAAAACAGAACAGGCAACAAGACCAGCCTGGTTTCTGCAGTTTCAACAATAAGAGTAGATCATCATCATTTTCATTTAAAGATGGTAAACTAATGTGATTTCTGCAAATAATTTCAAGCATCACGCAAAGAAAAGAACAGATAAATACATTCTTATTACTCCAAAACTAAATGTATTCCAACTCATGCTTCCATTCTGTGCTGAAAGCTCTGTTTTACAGTGACTAGTGAAAATTAACATTAAAGGTCTAAAATGATTACAAGAAGCATAAAACCTTACTTAATCATGGATAATTATAAGTTACTGACCCTTCTGTTTTTATCTTATGCACCAAAAGTGCTCCAGATCATTCATTGAATTAATTTTCTATTCATATCTAATAATATATGGCAAACTTACCAAGAAAAAAATCATATAAAAGGCAATCAAAATTTTCAATATGAAGTAGCAACCACTAAATGAAAAACAGATTCCTCTAACTATACTGAAAAAACATCTAATAATTGGACAAGTGCACTCCAATAGACAGTGGACTTACCTCTTTAATAGCATTTTGAATGTCATTAAGACCTCCAACATCCTCCCAACCAGAGCGACCGCCTTCAGTGGCTGGTTTAGTGATGTCGCGCATAGCCACTGGAAGGAAATTTTGCATTGCTTGCACAAAATCACCCCTAACCAAAGTATGTTTTGCATCTTCTCCAGAGGCTAATTCATCAGACAGTAAACGACCAATGGCAGCATGCACTGATCTGTCAACCAATATTTCCTGAAATGGATACTACATGTATTACATCTGATTGACTACAAATAGCTACCGGAGAGAATAAGATATACAAATAATCACATGAACTTCTATTCAGACTTTGAGTGAAGTATTGTTTACATTTGGTATCAACTACATACCAGATCATAAGCATCATATCCATCACATTTGGATGCTATATCCAAACAAAGGTCATCAGAGCACTGTAAGGATCTCTTCTTGATCTCATGTTTTAGTATAGCAGAACGTTCAGCAGCAGCAGGCACATGCAGCTTGACATGAAAATCAAATCTCCCTGAGCTCATATTTGTATGTATAAGTTTATGTTATCCACAAAGCATGAACAGGTTCCAGATTTAAAAAACAAAAAATATCATTAGAATATGAAGTTTAGTATCTTTACAGAGAGCAGAGTGACTAACCTGAAGAGCTCAAGATCTGTGGAAAGTTAGCCAGCGATTGTGCTGTAGCAATAAATGCTATGGGACCAATTCCACAGATCTTCCTGCAATTTTCCTGATTTGAGCATAAAGATGAGAGAACCATCAGTATTCAGACCAAAAAAGATGAATTTGTCCACTTGTTAGTATGACAACCACGTACAACCAAAAGATGAGAGAACCATCATGTGATGCTGACATGGATAACAAAAGCAAAAAAAATGTTTCTATTATTCATCTGGCATCAACTTAATGGAAAATCATAAATGCTCCAGTTCACAGAAATCTAAGCCCTGGTCAATTGTTAGAATGAAAACCACTTACAGCCTGATTGACACAGGAAAAAAATATATGAAGCATAAAGGTCTTGCCTCATATTCATCTAATATATCAGCAAGAAACTCAATTAGCGCTGCAGAAGAGGATGAATGTTGAGATCTCTCCATGTCCGAGGAAGGTGCAATGATGCTATCAAAATCATCCAAGATGACGACAGATGGCGCATGAACTAAAGCTTCAGAAATGTAGTTGGAAAGTGATAGACGGATTGTTGAAGGTTTCTCCAAAACAAGTTTAGAACAAGATATGAAAACTCTGTAGAAGGAAAACCCTCATTTAAGTTAATATTGAGTTGTGCGTAAACCAAAAATGGAAAATTCTTACATGGTGGCATATGGACAATTGGTCTATAATATACTTAATTTTTTTTGTTTTTATTGTATCTCACATGTGAGAATGAACTTTGGTTCTAGAGTATGCTTTTAAAAATCACATACACTCACACAAACAAATTGTTCGTCCCCACATTGGAATATATAAAAAAGAATGATGAGATAGTAAGACCTTGTGTTGAACAATCTAACTGATTGAATTCAATATTCTAGTGTAGTCTGGCCCAAGTATCTTGCTGCCAAGTTGAGTGAATCACAGTCCAATCTTATATTCTATCATGGGATCACAGAAGGTTTTTACCCCTGTGTTTGTGTGTGTGTCCATCTAAAAATGTCTATTCTTAGAAGCCGGAAAATTTTAACCTGATTGTTCATCTAGAAGTCTATTCTCAATCGTGCATGACCCACTTAACAAGTTTATCCACTTCATCTGTAACTCAGATGTCAGTGGCTTGTGGTCCTTTAAGTGTTCTCTTGTCCACTAGAAGAGAGTGTTATAGAGTCCATATTAGAATACTTAAGAAAAATGTTGGATTAATAAAATCTTGTGTAGAACTAGCTAATTGATTGGAATCATTGGATCCAATCTTTTAGTGTGATTTGACTCTGCTATATGATACCCTCGTCGAGTGCTACCTAATCATAAATTTTATCACAAACTAATATTAAACTGGCATTGAATATTTACCCCTACAACAACCAGTAACCCACGTGCTTCCCCATCCCTCACAACATCCCGGCATCCCACCTCCCCCCCACTCCATCCAACTCCCACAACATCAACTCAAAAAAAAGATTACTACACACATTGTTACAAAAATGAAATATATCAATTTCTCTTGTTTTTTGGAGAAAATTAATATTTCATGTCTCCAGCAAACATGCACACCATAATGAAAATGACAAAAAGGAACAACCAAGATAAGAGCAACACTAATGCAGAATCTTACATATGTGCCAGAATATCTAGACATCCTTCCATAGATTTTGCCGAGAATTTGGCCAATAATGTTTTCCCAGAACCCTACACACAAAAAAAAGCATTGTAAACAATAAAATTAATATGATTCTCATTTCATGCACTTAGCTGCCAAAATGTAAAATGAACCATAAAGTTCAATGGCCCTGCTTAGGCATAGTATCAGATTTGAGGATATCCTCCCAAAAACATTAGTAGATACAGAATTTGTGGGTGACTGTCTGTGTTGTAGTGACAGAAAAAGTTAGTCTGATGATCATGTGGAGCACTAGCTGCCAGTGATCCTCTTCAGATCGATATGTAGTAACTAGTGCCCATGCATATGTATGCAGGGACACAAATCAATGTGAATGTGTAACACCACGCAAAATCAAGCACGTAAGGAGTGTCTGGTATACAATCTAATTCTAATGTTTGAGACAAAAAACTTCATTATACTTCATGAAATATATGGGAAAAATGTAGCTTCACAAATAAATACTCCCTCCATTCCTAAATAAACTTCACATTTTGTATTACAATGTTTGACTGAAGTTATTTTCAAATTAATTCACATAAATTTGGTGTAAAATAAAAAATTATAAAATTAGGTATTTAAAAAATTATGTCAAAAGTTTTATACAACAAGAGATGAGTTGACTATATTATTTTAACATGTAAATAAAGAATAAAGGTAAGGAAGATACATAGTTGACCCTATAAATAGTAAATTTGAAGTGTATTTAGGGATGGAGGGAATATTAATTTAAAAGATATAATTGAAAGCCATGAGTGGAATGTAATTTGAAATGTGAATAGGTATATGCACAATCAATTATGGGTATTTGGGATGTTAAACACTGCCTACCCATACTGCATTCTTACTTCCTAGATGTACTATTTAATCAAATTGTTGAGAACCCATATGGAGACATGCAGCACAGTCTGAGGCATTGGAAAACCAATCATTGAATAGCATAATTGCTAAGCTTCGTCACTATAGGCTAAAGCTCAATTTGGATGTGCCGCTACTCATTTTTGTCACTCACATAAAAATTATTTTATATATATGGGTAATTGGATATAATCTGTGATCATTTCCATGAAATAGTTCTCTTATACTGAATTTTGTCACCTCTACTTCATTTGTCTTACCTCACCAATGACAGAAATCAGAAACAATCAAAGCTCAAACTTTGAACCTTCCGCAAAAAAAGATGGGAAATAGCAAGTATTTAAAAGAGGATCCCAGATAAGGTTTGGCTCCGATTGATTAGCATTACAAGAACTAGATGAAGATCATTTTGCAGGACTTACTGGAGGTCCATAGATTAGGATATGCCCAGGCAATGGAAGATTATAACTACTAAGTAACATCCCAGAAGCATGTGATAATAAAGTTCTCAACCCTGCAGGTAAATTACCATGTCAGGGACAAAAAATTACGGGATACAAAAATAGCATACCAGGACAGTGATAATGCTTATGTTGGAAAGAAAAAAAGGATGCAAATATATAAAGTAATAACAAAAAATAATCATAAAGTTTTGGTTGTATGGTGCTGAAGTTGAAAAACTGAAATGTCATATGGTTCTAAAGAAGCATCAGAGACTTCATGGATTCTTTAGAGGTCTAAATCCGAATCTTTAGTTGTCTAAAGTGAGATGCACCATCAAATATTCTACAAGAAAGGAAACGTAGCTAATTATGCCAATAAAGCAGCAATCCAAACCACAGTTTAATGTCCCTTTCCAACATCTTCAGACCACTCAAAACAATGAAGAACATCAACAGCAATGCACTTTTACTCACAAAATATAAATGATGTATTGCACTTACCTAGCCTCGTTCCAAGAGTTTCAGATGAATTTAAGGTTTACAAACAGTTAGCACCAAAAGAGCACCATGGTTATTACTTAGGATGAGATGTATGGACCAAAATATGATGTTTCATACAGAGTATATAGTTAGCTCACTAGTAAAGAAACAATATCCAATTACAATTCATCAAATTAAAAGAAGCTACTTGAGAAAGTACCTACTATAAATTACATCAACAGGAGCTGCACCCATCCAATCTAATGAAGTAATTGAAGCACTCTGTATGTTTTGAGGAGAAATCTCATTGGCAGCATGAAAGGATAGATTATCATCCAATTTAAGCTTTCCCAGCAACATATCTAAGCTTCTTGAGCTATAGTTGTCCCGACCACCTTTCTCAAATGCAAGTTCATATGCATTGATGTCTTCACCATGCACAGAATCCTCCGAAAGAGACAAGACATAGAAGAGATCAACTGACGTTTCGTCAGCTGAATTTCTGCATCTGGGAAACTTGTCACCAAGTGTGTGCACCATTCCATGTCTTGGTAAATTGTGGTTTTTTACTTTTAGATGAAGTAACGATTTGCTTCCAATAACCAGTGAACTGACATCTGCTGCATTTGAAGCAACAGTATTGAGCTGAGCAAAGCACCATGCACGTAAAAGAGTAGATATACCACTTACAAAGCCATTTTCAGTATTTGTTTTTCCAATTGTAGTAGTTGTTTCTTCCGCTCCAGCAAAGGAGGTTAAAGAAGAAAAAACTTTAACAATCTTCTCGTGCATTGACCAGTCCCTGATACCCATTTCAGCATTGGAACTGCTTCTCCGTAGCTCATCTTTTTGTAAATGGTTCTCGTGGTTGTTTACAATATCTAGACTGCTCTTGTCAACGTCATCTTTTTTAAAAATTTTGAAATGGGAAGGAGCAATTGAAACAAGAGGGATGTCTTTTTTAATTATAATTTTGCACCTTTTCAAATATACCCCTGAAAGAAACACACAAATGAAATGACAAACATAATATTAAAAAACAAATATACAGTATTAGATTGCACATTCAATTTTAAGTCTGGAAGTCTGAAGTGCGATTTTAGTCTGAGGTAACAATTTAGTGCAATCATGTTCCTGAACTAATGTTTCTTACCACTATACTTTAAGTTCAAGAAAATATATAGCTCTGGATAGAAGTACAGGCAATATCGTAGATTTATCTAAATCATCCGCAGAGGAACATTAAACGTGCAAGATAGTGCTGCTGAGATAAATTGAGGAAAGGGAACATAATAGTCTCAATGAAACAGATAAATGGATTCTTGCATAGAAAATAAGAATAAACATGATGATTGTGAAGTTTAAACTAAGCTTTCAACTGATTAAAGGATAACATACATGAGTGAAGTCCTGCACCCAAATAGAGGCGGAGCGACTGAGATAGCATTACATGTCCTTTTGCCACAGACTCGGACAACAATATACGAAAAAGAACTTCATGGAAACCCTTTTCATTGGAAAGATTTCCATTGTTGGATTCTTTTTCGGTTGCACTCGTTTTAGAATGTGGATTCTTGTTGCTCTTTTTGGAGAGTACTCGAGGAGATATCACCACAAATTGAAGAGAACTCAATGAATAATTTTTGGCTGTTTCCGGATGGATGAAAATTCCAGAAGTAAACAAGATATCCACATTGACACCATTAACATCGTGCTTACAGATGAATCTACTGTCTGAATCCTGAACGCGAAGTAATACTTTAGTCATTGCATGTTCCGGCTCAGGAGGCTGGATTGATGAAGTTCTACGAGTTTTCGGAGCAACTGCAACTTCTGTTCCGGGTACAAGTTGGACTGCAAACAACCTCACAAATCAAATAACTGGCATAAAAATCCCATCACTTCATCACATCATAAAGGAGTGCAAGTATACCTTAGTTCAAGTACAATACAGTGTTTTACATACACCAACCATATAAAACGACCTAAGGGGCCAAACAAATAAGATAGTAAGATACTTCCTCACAGTTCCATGAAAAGAATGATTCAAGAAACTGTTGTTCAGAATGGGGTGTCCCATTTGGAACACACAACACAGCAAGGGACCTTGGGGGGGGGGGGGTATTCAGAGACTATGCTTTATCCTTTCTGCTGTAAAAGGTGATTATGGTTGACATTTTGAATTCAAAAATCACAAATGAAAGGTCATGCTTAACGTCCTTTCTCCAATTTCCAGAAAAAAAATTTCACTACCCACTCAATTTAGAATCTTATCAAAATCTGTGTATTAAATGTTAATCCAGTATTTACACAATTTGTATATGCTAGCCGTACACAATATGGACGATCAACTGATCAAGTTTCTGGGTACAGTTTTACATCCAGTAACTTCTGTGGCACCACTTGGTGTGTATAACCTGTGCAGGTACTCCATGTGACTAATCGGAATTTTTTTCCCACCCATTCAGTTTGGAGTCCAGGGTGAGACTTGGCCAAGAATTTCACGATCACATGGCTTAAGAATTGTGACAACAAACTGCCGCATTTTTCATCAAAGCTAGGAGAAATCTACCAAGAATTTGCAACTGAAAGGAAAAATACCATGGACAATATAACCGCAAGGATACTGACGGAGGAAGTTGATGTTACCTACTGGTTCTTGTGGAAAGGTTGACGTGACAAGAAACATGACAACGGTTTGTCCATGCAACCACAATGGAAATCTCATATCTTCGTGAACGATTCCAACCTGATGGAGTGTGAGTAAGCACTCAAACAGCATTAATTTGTTACTTATGAATGCGTGTTTCACACACACACACACACATAGATGGGGGGGTGAAGGATCCCCACCTCCTTCTGTTTAGTTAAGCAAAATGATAAGGTAGTAAGGGTCCAAAAATCCCTTGAGATTCATTGGATTGGATAATAGGTCGAACCACATTTAAAAGATTGAATCCAATTGATTAGTTAGTTTAAGTCAAGAGCTTATACACAGGTTATTTTACTCTTGAACTTTCGACGTGGGATGCACTCTAACAAAGACAACACTATTTTTACTGTCTCAAGTCTGAATACAAATTTTAAACGCAGCATTTCCATCAATGTAAAACCAAAAAAAAAATCAAATAAAACCTGCTTCAGAATAGCATTTTCAGCAAGCTCCGAATTAAGTTCCAGAATCTCCCAATCGTCCTCCGTAAGTGGCTCTATGGTCACCAGTGTAGCCTTGGGCAAGTTGCTCACCACCCGCACCCGGACCCCCATGCCATCACTCAATCCGATACACCCCGCATATTGGCGAGCAATCTGAAGCAAAAGTTCTGAAATTTTTATCCTCGATTAAAATAAAATCAGGCCGAGTAGACAATCAAATTGTAACAGTACCTCAATGGATGAAGGGGAAGAGGAAACGGAGCCGCACCAGGACACGTGCCAGAGGCGTCCCTCGGAGGAGCGGAGTTCGATTGCGAGAATCGGAGGGAGGTAACGGGACTGAAGGGTTTGAATCAGTGGAAGAGGAAGTGAAACGAAGCAGCTCTCAATTCCCCCTACCACTCGCACCTCAAACTCCATAGCTCACCAGTAACTACCCCCTTCCTGGGATTAATTTATAAGTGAATGAGTGAAGTTGCCCTTCGTTAGTCCGTTCCTTGGTTTCCAGTTCACTGAAAGGTCTTTTTTTTAAGTTCCCCTTCCTGGGATTAATTTATAAGTGAATGAGTGAAGTTTATTCTCTTACAAATTTGGGTAAATTTCACAAATGGTACCTGAACTTTAGCTAGAATTTCGAAGTGTTTTCCACCCAAATCCGGCGAAATTGACGGCGGGCACCAACGCCAATGCGGTCGTGGCATCCGGGCGACCTCCAAGGACCCCTCAATTGCAAGATTTGATGAAGATTTGCAAAACCCCCAATGTTGGATCCAATTTCGAATTTTAGGGTTTTTTCGAGTAGAAAAATTCAGATTCGAGAAGTTACAGGCCAAATTAGACAAAATGGTTTGGATATTATTGATCCTCGTCTCAATACGAAGAGAATGACATTGGTCTCGCCGGAATCGGAAAAAGTTCATTTTCCGGCGACTTTGACCGGCGGGCGGCGGCGGCGGGGCGTGATGGAAAAGAAAAGAAGAAATGGGGTCAAATTGAAAATTTTAAAATATATAAAATTCGAATTTCGCCCTAATGACCGGAAGTTAACCTAGAAACGGGCTAATGGCTCATTAGTGAAAGGATTGTGTAAGTTCAGGGATTTTTGTGAAAGGATTTGAAGTTCAGGTACTACTTCGAAATTCCAGCTAAAGTTCAGGTACCATTTGTGAAATTTACCCTACAAATTTTGATTACAAAGTCAAAATCGACTTGTGAGGTGCAATTGAAGGGGGTGAGGGGGTTTGTTCGAGCCAGAGCGGGCGGGAGGTTAGGAGGGGTAGTAATCGTCAATTTTACGAAAGGGGCACCAGAGCGTCTCCGGGTCATCCCATGACATTGGTTCCCAATGTCATGGGAACCAAGGGATTTTTTTCGTCTGAAAGGTCTTTTTTTAATATATGGCAGTTTATTCTCATTTGAAAAAACTATTATATCTATAATTAGAGTAACCAAAATAATAACGCCGCAAAAATGATTAATGAACATAGCGCAATGAAATGTATTCATTTGATATTGTTAACTTATTATTCGATACTTTAAAATTTATTAGAATTGCGACATTAACTTATAATTTGGGATATTAATTTATTAGAATTACGACATTAACAAAAATATTTGATCCAAAGAATCTGTTCACAATGCGCATTGATTCACTCCGATCTTTTAGCTTTTGGATATTTTGGATTAGATATTCAGAAAATCAGATCGGATATGGAATGAAATATTAAGATTTTGGATATTCACGGATATCTGAAATTCATATTTTAAAAAATTATAAAAATAAAGTTTACACAACCTCAATCCAATTTATTTTTATCATCATAAATCTTTAAATCTAATTTTAATTCAAGTTCTTTACTTAGTCTTTTTGTCTATGCTTTATTTGTCAATTATTTGGATATTCTTTTTCCATACTATATAAAATTATCGAAGTAACTATGGCATTTAAAACACATTTTACTTCAAATTCAAGTCTAATTTATGAGCTCCACTTTTTCAACAAATAAATAATCATTCCAAATATTTTTTTAGAATTATTAGAGAAAATTAAACTTCAAAAAAAGAATTTGAAATGAACTATGGCATTTAAAACACATTTTACTTCAAATTCAAGTCTAATTTATGAGCTCCACTTTTTTAACAAATAAATAATCATTCCAAATATTTTTTTAGAATTATTAGAGAAAATTAAAATTCAAAAAAACCTACATGTAAAAATTTGTTTCAAGTATTTGACTTTTGTCCCATTTTAATTATTTTGTAAAACTTCTAATGTACTATTGAACAATGTAATGTTTACTTTTTATTTCTTTACCAATTTGTAAATTAAATGTTTTTAAAAAAGATAATATTTTGTATGTACTTAGCTTGACAGAGTACTATATTGATTTCTTTGTTATTTTTCTGTTATATTGTGCATGAATGATAAATTCCATTAATATGCATTGTTTCTGAATAACTCACAAATTCAGCACATTTTTGGTGGTATGAATTGCTGGTGGAAATCCCAAGATGAGCCAATTTTCACAGGAAATCTAAATAGAAATTCTTGGCGTAATAGTTTCTTCCAATTTTATGCATCTTTAAAGCACTGGAAATACTCGTGAAGCCCTGGGCTTCAAAATTTCTTTCTCTGCCACATCAACTTTAACATACCTCACAGATTCAGTAGAAATGGGGTTGAAGCCCCGGGGCTTCAAACAGGGGCTTCAAACCTTCATTTTTTAAATTTTTAAATATACATCTTCTAAATTTAAATTAATAAATTTAAATTAATTTATTATTTAAATTAATCAAAAGGAGACTAGTGCATTAAAAAAATATTACATTCATAAAAGAATATATTCATAAAGAAAGTTACATTCATTAAAAAAAATATTACATCCACAAAAAAAAACACTACAAAAAAATTACTAATTATTCGAGCGACTAAAAATATTTTCATTCAAATCCAAGTTGTAGTAACATATTGCAAACTGAAATAATTCGTTAAATAAAAAATACAATCAATAAAAAAAGTATGTTAAATTAAAAAAAACAAAAAAATTACATTACTAAAAGAAATTTAAACAAAGAAATATTACATTAAACAACAAAATATAGAGTAAAAAAAATTATGTTTGTGTATGTTTTTTTAAAGAGAGAGTGAGGAGAGATTTGAAGCCCGTTAAAGTTTTGAAGTACAAGGGATGAAGCCCGTATGAAGCCCCAAGGGGGCGGTGTTTGCTGCCCCTTTGATGTTAAAAGGGGCAATAACGCCCCGGGCGTTATGCCCATTACCAGTTCTCTTAGTTTTTTGAATTGAAAACCATATGCAAATCCACCTTTGGAACTTAAAGTACAACACATTGTCCAAAAATTTTAGTGTAAAAATAGTACTCCCTCCGTCTTAAAATGTTCTTCTCACTTACTTTTCAGCGGTCAAACTTTAATCATTTTCTTTACCTATTTTCATTAGGTATTTGATAAAATAATGTAGTCTTGTCACCAATTGTTTAGTAAAACTTTTGGTGTAGTTTTTAAATATATAAATTTTATTTTTTGATTTTACACCTACAATTAAAAAAATTGAATTGAAAATAAAGTTGGTCAAACTTCGTAAACAGAACCGGGAAGAACATTATAGGACGGTGGGAGTAATAATTTTTACATTTTTTGTACGGATTACAACGGATGGGGAAGATGAACAGCCCCGGAAATAAATAATAAATAAAATTCTGAATTTATAACTTATTCAGAATGTTACAACATAAACAAAATTGAAAAAAAATTTCTATATCTTCTCAAAAGGTCTCGTTGTATGAGGACAGTAAACACTGGACAACGAGGACATTATGCACTGGACAACGAGGTCATTATGCACTAGACAGCGAGGTCGTCATGCACTGGGCTGCAAGGACATTATGTCCTAGGGCAGAATGCAGCGAGGTCTTTATGAACTAAACCTGCAAAACAAAACACCGTGAAGGACAGCGGAGTCGCCGGAGCTATCCTTAAGGTAGTAGTGTCCGCCTACCGTACCGGAAAAACGTGGGCACTCTCCTCCCAGGATAAAACCGCTATCGTGTGTGGAGATTGTACGGACCAACCACACACCAACGAACAAGAACAACGTAGGAACGTTGACGACAAAAAAAAAAACTTTAAGGGAGATGGCCGGAGAATTTGACCGGAAAATCAAGAGCTTTCTCTAAATATTTGACAAGAAAGTTTTCCCTATCTTTTCCCTTTCTTTCTCACATATGGCACACACAAAACACACCACACTAAACAATGGAGAGCCCTTGATATTTATAACTAAGGAATTTTAAAAAGTGTAACTCCTACACCATTAATCCATGGCATTTGTGGCACAATAATGACGTGTTAATGGTGATTAATTAGCCATTAACACGTCCGTTACGCTACGCTCCGTTTAAAATTTGTCCCGAATAATTGGAGATTAATGACCAGTTAACTCCGTAAAAAAGACTAATTTTAAACAATACGTAAAATTAATAATAGAAGATTGGCTCAGTAAAATTGCAAAAAATTGCAATCCTTACCATATTCTTTTATTAACGGGTTAACTCTGAGAATCAATTTCTGATTCACCCTCTACCATTTTTGGCGTATAAATTATCAAAACATTTATCTCATTTAAGAGAACACACGTCCATTAATTAACGGTTAAAACCGTTAGTGGACCTATTGATAAATATACCCAAGTTGGTCCATTTAATGCCTATTAAAATTGCCAAAAATTCCAACAATAATTTAATTTTTTTTAAAGTGGGTTGTTAACCCAGTCACAATTAGGAGAGGATTTGGCCTAGTTTCCCTTAACATAGTAATCAAGGAAAGAAGTACCCTTGCCCACCCAAAAGATATTACTTCAACAGAATCAAGCATAAGGGATTGTTAATAATGTATGCAATCTTGAATCGGGTAAGTGGGGGGTAACAAAAGATATCCAGAAATAAAAGAGAAATAAAAGAGAAATAAAATCTTGATAACAGATTCAAAATAAAAAAAGATGCTTCTTTCATCTTAAAGATGAAAACTTTTAGGGAAAGGTTCTCATGACATTGGGAACCAATGTCATGGGATGACCCGGGGGCGCTCCGGTGTCCCGTTCGTAAAATTGACGGTTCCTACCCCCCTAACCCCCCCGGTAAATCCCCCCACCCCGCCCCGACCCGAACGCACCCCCCACCCCCTTCAATTGCACCCCACAAGTTGATTTTGACTTTGGAGTCAAATTTTGACTCTAAAGTCAAAATCAACTTGTGGGGTGCAATTGAAGGGGGTGGGGGGTGCGTTCGGGTCGGGGCGGGGTGGGGTGGTTTACCGGGGGGGTTAGGGGGGTAGAAACCGTCAATTTTACGAACGGGGCACAGGAGCGCTTCCGGGTCATCCCATGACATTGGTTCCCAATGTCATGGGAACCAAGGTGAAACTTTTAATAATTGAACTCAAACAATACACAGTAGTACAAAGCAATTACTCCGTAGTTTATATGAATGATATAAACATCCAAAATAAT